AACAGAACCCAGCCTTCTATGGTCACTGTGAGAGGATGCATGTAAACCCTAGCTCTCAGCCAGGCTTTTGGCACATGGTAAAAATAAATCTTAGTATTAATAAGTCTTATCCCCTTTGGGGTCCTGGATCCCTAGAGAGTTGAATGAGACCATGGACCTCACACCAGAATTGACATCATCACAGACCCATAGAAACACACAGAGCACCTGCGCATGCGCACACACATGCATGCACAATTTTGCAACCAATTTCTAGGTGCTCCAGCAGCTCCTGGGGCAGGTCAAGAGTGCCTTCAGAACATGAACATTCCTTCCAGCTCTAAAAATCTCCAAGGCTCTGAGCACATGTTGCCAACATCTCTGTCCCTCCCCACCCTGCCAGGCTCAGGCATCTCAGAGAACCCTTCCCAACACTTAGGGCCAAGTGCAGAGGCAGGGCTTGGAAGAATCCTGGAGCGTGGAGGGCAGGCCCAGGGCAAGGTCGACAGAATGGATTCTGTGAGCTCATCGCAGCAGCCGTCACCAGATTTCCCAGAGAGGCTGGTGGCGTCGGGAGGGGGTGACTGAGTGTGAGCCGGCTGGGCTGTGGTGGTGACTGTGGCAGCCGGCAAGGAGTGTGGGGTGGAGAGGGAGGCAGGATGGAACGCGCTATAATAGCGGCTTTGTGCTCCCCTTCCCAGCTCCCTGGGAACGCCAGGAAGATTATGAAACCCGGTGTCTTTGGAAATGCCAGGATATTAGCTGGAAAAAGAATAATACAAAAATAAAATAATGCTCGGGATGGAGACAGCAGACGATTAGCAGACGGAGCCAGGGCCTCCCGCTCCGTGGAGGGAGCCAGGCTTGGCCCCTGCAGAAGGTTTCAGGGAAAGGCTGCCCGTGCTAATGAGCAGACAGGGCCTGCCTTCCAAGGAGACGTCTTCCAGAGGGGAGCTGGCAAGCAAGGCCCAGCCCGCTGGTGGACGTGTGGGCCAGGGAAGGGGTGTTAGGAGGCAAGGGGGCGCCACAGACCTGGTCCAAAACTGTCATATTACCAGAAGCCACCTAGCTACCACCCACTGTCCTCCCCCACCCCTTCACAGTCTGCCTCCCAATATCCTCCTCCAGGAAGCCTCCCCTCATTAGGCACTGTCAGTCTGGAATGGCTCTTGTTCTACCCTCCAGCACTTCAAAGATGCAGATTCTACTGGGTTTATTTGCACTCCTGTGTGAACATCTGTCTTCCAAACAAGAGAGGAGTTCCCCTGGGCCAGGCCTCCACCATCAAACCAGGGGATTATTAGAAGTAAAGATCATTTTCCTCCCACCAAGGAGCAGGGACAACACATCATCTTGCCTGCTTCCTTCCCCAAGACCCTGGCCACACACCTCTAGGCAGGTATGGACATGCCCTGCCTCTCCCAGAAAAGCATCCAAGTGGGGGGCCAGTGGGAACCCCTCTTGCATCTTCAAGGTACAATATCAACCACACATCTGTACATCCTCAATCCTCACCCTCGGACCAGTAGCAGCAGCACCTGGAAGCTTGTTAGGTGTGGAGCCTGCCCCACATGGACACTGAATCAAGGGTCTACATTTTAACAAGATCCCCAGTGGTGCCTATGTGCATGAAGTCTGAGAAGCACTTCACACACATCATTGGTAATCCTTACAATGACCCGGGTGGGGTTACTTTCATGAATGAGGTAATGGAGTCATTAACGGCATGAGAGACCTGTCCACAGCTAGTAAGCAGAGGAAGCCAAATTTGAACCACACCTGCCCCTGCAGCAACCTCACCCATCCTACCATGCTTCCCCCAACGAACTGACAGGCATCAAGGGCCACTGGACACAGACCAGTGCTCAGCCCAGAGGCTGAGTCCTGGCACCCAGAATGTATAATCACCTGCCACAGGGTACAGGGTGGACTTCAGTCCTAATGTCTTGCTGAGGCATAAGTACCTCCCAGGACAAGGATAGCAGGCTCCATTTTGGGAGCCCAGACTATCCTGGATCTTGGCAGGAAGAATGTAAAGGTGACCGTGGAAAGAGTGTATGTGTGTGCACTTGTGTGAGTGTGTGTGCATGTGTGTGCATGCAAGTATGTGTACTGTGTGTGTGCATGAGTGTGTGTACTTGTGAGTGTGCACATGTAAGTGTATGTGTGTGTGTGAATGTGTTTTGGGCTGATGAGGACTAGCTCACTCACATACAGAGTCATCCAGATGGTTATTGCCAAATGGGCCTGTGGCCCTGTCCAAATGCTGGACACACCTAAAGACTTTCCAAAACTGTGTGGTCCTCTGACTCCAGCTTTGTGGGACCCAGCCTCTCTAACCACTGTCTCCCTCTGGTTCTCTCTGACAGCCAAAGACTCAACAGGGCTCCCCAGCGTTGTTTCCTTCGGCATACCACAGGCAAGACACACTTGAATTACCGTTACCTGTCCACAGCTATTGACTTCACACTTGATTTCTCAGGACACGTTCTCCCACATGAAGAACAGACTGGTTGGTTTCTCTGTTCCAGGGAAGTGCCTCCTGCCTCCCAGGCACTATGCCATAAGAGCTGGGCAGTAGGGTCCCTAAGACTGCTAACCTTATTCCCCCAGGTCCCGGCCAGCCAAGAGCCCATTCTTGCTTCATTCGTGTGTCTCTGGTCTCCTCTTCCTACCCCGTTCCCTGAGCCCCCATGCCTCTAGTCTTCCTACCCTGGGCCATTTGGCAGGCAGCCGCCATATGCATTTTCCTCATACAGCCCTGCACCGTGTGCGTCAGACCTGCCAGGTTGAACCATGAACTCATCACTGCCCAGGCCCACCCCACCACAGCCTAGCAATGGCAGCAGCCCCACCATCCACCCAGTCGAGCCTCTAAGGCCCCTCCCTCAGACCTTACCTCCCAAGCTCTGCCACTCCCACTGCCCCACCTGGTCCCACAGCCCCTACCCAGGTGGTCACCTTATCCTGGGCCTCTACCCAAGACACCTGGCGGTCTCCTGGCAGGACATTCTCCCTTCCAACCATCCTCCACAGCTACTTGGTTGATGGTCCCAAAGCCCAGCTCTGTCCGAGCACCCCTCTTCTCAACAGCCCAAACTGGCTTCCTCCTCCTCATTGAACAGAGTCCTCTGGTCACCATCTGGAGCTCTTTGCCCAGTAATGTTTGGGTGTCCCCTCTTTCAGAAAAGGCCAGAAGCTCCTCTCCCTAACTGGGTGGCACTGTCAATCCCAGAGAAGGGGCATGGTGCAGGGTAGCCAATCAGAATGCCCCACCCCTCCCCCAGGTGCAGGGGCTGGCTGGTATACAGGACTGCGCAAAGCCAGTCAGTCACGCACAGGATTTTACTGGCATTATTGAGAAAGCAGCACTCTGGGGGTCTCCAGCTGTGAGGAAAACAGAGTGTGATGCCAGGTGGCTGTGCTATTTTATCTAGCAGGACTTCGCTGGCTGCAAGGATGATGTCAGCATTTCATCACCAGCACCACCTTTGCTGCCACACAGAGTGAGCCAGGGTGAGACAAGGCTGAGACAAGGGAGAGGGAACTCAGGACAGCATGAAACTCTATTTCCTGCCAGGCCCAATGCCTGATTTACCTCTTGGGCTCTTCCCAGCTATGTGAGCCCACAGCCTCCCTTTTGCTCTTTTGCCCACTTCAGTCTAATGGAAAGAAATCTTGGTTAGTTAGGGTGGTGCCGGCCTGGCCTTCTCAGACCTAGAGCCACATGACCCCCAAAGGCCCTGCCCCATACTCAATGCCCTTTCTGACTCAAAACAGAGGGAGTCAAGAACACCAACCCCAGAGAGCCCAGAGAGCCCCCACCTGCACCCCACTGTGGCTGCTGTGACCTGGCCACAACTCCATCCCACCCTGCTCTGCCTTGGCCTGAGGACCAGTCAGCAGCCCGAGAGCCCAGGGCTCCACATCTCCCCATGGCCTCCCACTACCTTGGCTCCAAAACAAGAGAGGGGGCTCCCTCTGAAGCCTGGAACAGGCTTCTCTGACATCATCTTACCCCCAGAGGGTTTCCTCTCCTATACTGCCACCCTAGGCCTGGCCCACCATCAAGGCCTGCAACTGACAGAATGCCCTGCCCTGCCCCGCTCCCTCTCAGGGCCTGTGCTGGCTCCAACTGCCTTCCCTGTTCCCACCCCATAAGATCCTGAGCCTGCCCTGCTCTATTCCCCCAGCCCTAGTAGCTGGGCTATCCTCAGGATAAGTGCCCAGACCAGACACTGACCAAATACACCCATAGCAGGCTGCACATGGACACCCTCACCCACCACCTCATGCAGCTAGTGGGTGTCTCATTCAGGGCCTCTCCTTCCCACCTCCAGGAATCCCCAGACCAGCAGGGGACAGGCTGCCTGGTGAGAGTCCCCATTCAGACTATTCAGGAGTATCTCCTCATCTCTTCTGGGGAGCCCATCACCCAGACCCTGGATGACCTAGAGCCAAGCCCAGTTCCACTGGCCACAGAAAATGTGCTCCAGGGCAAGACAGCCATCCTGGGGTTCAGTTTCTAAGGCACGTCTCTCCAAAATTGCTGGGAATGCCCATGAGATGACCTCTGCATGTCCAACAAAGGACATCTGGGGTCATCTGCCCTCTCTGGCTACCACCAGAGAGGTAGGGGCTAGGCCAAAGCCTCCCTGCCCATCCTCATGCCTGCCAGACTATTCAAGAAGAGCTGGCTCAAATCACAGGTCAGCCAGTCAGAGAGCCATGGGCATCTCCCACTCTGTTCCCATCCTGACTACTCAAAGAAGCAGCTACTCCAAAAAGCAGTAAGTCTTCCAGTGCCAAGAAAGGGACGGTTTTATTGTAAGAGAACACCCAGACTGATGCCTGCTTTCCCCACATGCAACCTCACAGTAACTGAAGCCAGGGTGACAGGCCAATGTTCCATCCAAAAGCCCTAACCTGGGGGTCCTGCACCTCTCCCACATCAGCCCAGAACAGCCCTGGGAAACCAAGATGCACTCCACCTGACCCAAGGCAAGCATAGCACCACGTACCAGGGCTCCCTCAAGGGCAAACACAGCTGCAGGCCCCGTCTTCTCCAGTGGCTCCATCCTGCGGCGCCAGCGGCGGCGGCGGAAGGCATCCGTCTTGCGGTACTCTAGGTGGAACTTCCAGCCAAAGAGAGAGGCATACTCCCAGCCCTCACCCGCTGCCTCCGCCTGCTTGTGCTGCATGGAGAACCGACAGACTCAGAGGCCAGCCGGAGGGTCTGGGGGAGCCCTGCGCCAGGCTCCGGCTGTGCCTTCCTGCCCTCCACAATACCTTCTGCACCAGCACCCTCCAGGTGGGAAAACCAGGGAAGGCCACCTGGAGGAAGGGGGCTTTGAGCAGCTTGTTCAGCAATAAGGACTTCGGGTCAGAAAATCAGGAGGGGAAAGGAGTCTTCATGGGCTGCGGGGAAAACCGAGGCGCCAGAAAGGGAGGGTAGACTGAAGCAGTGAGGAAAACACTGGGCTTCTGACTGTCGTGTTTGTTTGAACTATGGGTGGATTTCATGAATCCAAGGTTGTCTTGTCATTTCCTTTTTTTCCTTCACCTCCCAGCTTATAAAAATGGAAGTGAGTCTGAGGTTCAAAGGCAGAAGACAGACCCAGTTTCCCAATCTCAGCCTATTTCTCCCCAAGAGGCAAGACTTAGTCAGCTGTAGAGGGACCCTCATGTACTCCCTCCAACGAACACTTTCCTGGCCCTGGAGAGAGTCCTGGAAGCCCCTCACTTTTCAGACCCTGCAAGAGTGTTCTCAGACACCACCTCAGGATGGGGCCATGAGCACAATGACAAGGGCTAGTCCTGGAAGTCAGCTGCGCCCCTCTCCAGAGAGGATGCTGGCTGGAGGTAGAGGCAACTTCCACTGGGTGCCCCTCAAGGGAAAGAGTTGAGTCTGTCTAGTGCACAGCACCAGGAACAGCTGGCTGTCCAAAAGCTGTGCCCTCCCCAGACCCAGTGACAGTTGCTCCAGGTTCTCTATGCCCCAGAAGAGAAGGAGGAGCCTGGGGCATGCCAAAGGCTACTTCTAGACTGGGAAAGTTGTGGTTCTCGAGCCAAAGTTCAAATGTGTACTTAGGAAAGCATCATCATAGATCTAGAGAGTGCAGCAGAGGCAGGCACTTAGGCTACACAGCACATGAGCACCTGTGTGACTCTGGAGCGAGTGTGTGTGTGTACATGTACTCATCTATGTGCACTACGGGCCTGTCAGCATCCCATAATTTCTGTGCCCAACTGTGAGTACATATGTTTACACTGTGTGAATGCTGAGGGGGCCCACACTGGCCCCTTTACCAGCTGACATGCTCCGTGCACCTATCTCCAGCTGCCATGAGTGTCAAAGGTTCCCAGCTCCCAGAGACCACCTGTTCCAGAGAATTCCCATGGCTGAAGAGAGCCCCTTCACGGGGGAGGCAGGTATGCACCCCAGCATATCCCAGCAGCCTCCAGCCAATGTCAGGCAGCTAAGAGGGTGCCCCAGCCCCTTGCTTCCAGATGAGGACAATTCTGTGGTATTCAAGAAAGCACTCCTCCCCCAGGCCACAGCTCTAGCCAAAGCTGACCGCCTGAGGTTGCATGCTGGACCCTCACATTCTTAAGAGTGCTGCCTCAATAACATGCAGCCAAGTCCACATCTCAGACTCTGCCTCTAGGAAACCCAGCATAAGACACATTCCGTGGATGCCTTCCCACCCTCCAGGCCTGTGTCTGAACTCTGCATGTAACCCCCTTAGGTGGTCATGGACACCTGGGTATGTTCTTTGTCAGGGAGCACCTGTGGGTGTCACTTATGAGCATCCTCCATGCCTGTGCACGTCCCTCACATGCATACTGCCAGAGTCTGTCTATGTGCACACAGGTCACAGCCTATGCCCACAGGCCTCCCCCAGCTGGGGACCTCACTCCTGCCCACCACCTACTGGCTCACCCTCTTCAATGCTTCCATCTGGCTGAGGTCCCTCCTGCGCAGACGGACCCAGCGCCGCCGTCGGTGTGTGTAGTACATCTTCTCAACAGGCACCCAGTGCCTCGGCTTCCGGTCCGGAGGGATGGTGATGCTATACTCCCAGCCTGAGGGAGGGAGCACCCATCACTCATCACCCAGCAATTCCCATCTCTTAGGTGCAGCTCTCAATTCAGGGCATGCTCAGAGACCCTTGAGTGACCACTGACTCATGAACCTAATTTGTAGCTTGAAGAGGGAGCTGCCTTCAGGAAGTCCCCTCAGGTAAAGCAACCCAGTGAAGGCCAGTTCTCCAGGCTGAGGGGCCCTGGCATTCAGCTGTCCCCACCAGCATTCCTCAACAGCTCACTGGGCCAGGGCTCACCAGGTTCCATGTGCTGCCCACCTTGTTCATCAACAGCCCGATTGAGGTCTGTAGACCATTCTTCATCTTCCCACTTCCAGCCCACTGGGCACTCGATGTCATCTTTGGGAAGAACCTTCTCCCCATTCTAAGGGCAAAACAGGACAAGCAAGCATGAGAGGAGACAGTAGACATCAGCAGAAAGGCAAAAAATATACAACTTAACAACATACATCCCCAAAATCCCAGACAAAGGGAAGAGCCCCTGGGGAACTGGGGAACCCAGTGTCAGTGTCCTGCCCTGCTGGGTCCACAGTGTCCCTATGAAAGCCAGAGTATGGCAGCTTAGGAGGTAAGAGTGAGAAGAAAAATGTCCCAGCCTTCTCTGAGCCACAGGCCCCTTCTTGGACCAAATATCCAGGCCCTACCTGCCCCTGAGCATCCCCCCTTACCACATCAGTGTAGTTGTCACTCATGTAGATCCACTGGCCTCCAGGAAGCCGGGTCTGGTTCTCAAATACCTCCTCCACAAAGCTCAGGTGACCAGCATCAGTGTCATGGAGCAGACTGCAGGGGAGGGCCAGTCAAAGCCCATGGAAGAGACCCCTCACCCACCCATCACCTCCAGGAGAGCACCCCAGGCCTTGGCCAGCCTGCATGTGTCAGCGTCACCCCAACCAACAAGAGAGATGCAGGGGAGAGGGAAGGGAAGGTACAGACAGACCAGGCCAGACAGCAAAAAGGAGACCCGGGGACACATAGAGACTGTCACAGAAAAAAGAACTCATCTCCCAACATAAAGAAAGAGAAAAGGAGATGAATTAAAGATACCAAAAGTCAGATGAGTGGTTGAAGCTCAATAGATAGTTGTAAAATATAAAATGTTATCAGACTAGGCTCAGCACCCACAGCTCAGCGGCTAGGGTGTCAGCCCGCATACACCAGAGCTGGTGGGTTCGTATCCAGTCCGCACCTGCCAAAAAACAAAATGACAACTACAACAAAAAATAGCCGGGCACTGTGGCAGGTGCCTGTAGTCCCAGCTGCTTGGGAGTCTGAGGCAAGAGAATCGCTTATGCCCAGAAGTTTGAGGTTGCTATGAGCTATGACACCACAGCACTCTACCTAGGGTGACAGCTTGAGACTCTGTCTCAAAATTTTAAAAAAAAATGTTATCAGGCTATAACTTCAGATTTGAGTACTTGACTATATGTTATATTTCAATTTTTTTTTAATTAAAACACACACAGAATTGAATGTCAACCAAATAAGAAAAGAGAGAAAAGAAAGGCAGATGTGGATAGAGAAAAATGATGTTGGTCTGAGAGAGACTGAGAGGAGAAAGGACCCCTCCAGGGGAAGTGTGAGCAGCCTCAAGTGTGAGAAGGGTAGAGGCGGTAAGGGGTTGCTGTGAGATGTCTTGGGGCCACAACCAATGAATGCAAAGCCAAATGGAGGCAGGAAAATAAAGGCCTTTCTGATTGGTAGGGCTTTTCTAGAAAGGAATGCTGCCTAGTGAGCCCCTGGTGAGTCCTGGCAGAGTTCAAGTGAAAGTCCCCATGACCAGCGCAGGAGAGTAGGCAACCTGGCCTGGCCCTACCCAAGCCCTCCCTGCCCATGACTCACGTCTTCTCTGGACACACGAACCAATCTCCAGCCCAGGTCCAGCCTGCAGAGGGCCGGAAGCTATCCTTGGGTAACTTAATTTTGCCCGTGACATCAGAAAACTTGGGGTAAGTGAGGCCCGTTGTGCCCCAGTTCCCAACCAGGGCTAGCTTGGTCTGGTTCTCATACTGGAAGGAGAGGAAGACAGAAAAATGAGTGGGGACCACAGCAGCTCTAGGGGGAGGCAGGGATGGGCTGCAGGCACTCACAGTTTCTGCAAAGACAGAGAGCTTCCCCTCAGCAAACTGGTTGAATTCCTTTTCATCCACAGATAGCCCGAACCACAGCTTGACCCGTATCTGCACCGGCATCCGGGCCCCAGGCACCCTCTCCATCGGATACTGAGTACGAGAGAAGGACGGAAACACACAGGCCCCTTCAGGATCAGGAAGTCACAGCTAGGGGTTAAGGTTTGGGGTTGTCCTCTAGGCCTGGCTACTGCCTAATATCCCCATTAGCTATGTGCCCCATTGGAGGACTTACCAGAAATTCATGGAAGGGGAGGGATTAATAAAGCAAAGTAATGAAGAAAGTTTCTCACTCCTGCCAGGATCCCTTCCCACCAAAGAAGAAACCTATATCCTTCCTACTCTGGAGCAATCAGCAGAGAAGAGCCATGTGTATACCAGGATCCCTCATTCTTACCTTCTCCATCATATCCTCATTTCCATTGACTTCTAGAATAGCACTGTCAATGGAACTTCTTGCTATGATGGAAATACCTTACATCTGCACCATCCAATATGGTAGTCACTAGCCCCAGGTAGCTACTGAGCACTTACAATGTGGTTAGTGTGACTAAAGAGCTGAATTTTTAGTTGTATTTAATTTTAATTGATATAAATGTAAGTAGTTATTATGTGGCTACCATATTTTGACAGCACAGTCCAGAACTTGTCCCTAAAGTAGATGCAATAATACAGATCTGGAAGGAAAAGAAATTAAAGCGTCTACATTTGTTTTCAGCATTTCTTTTTTGTTAGTATATCATCTAATATCCCTACTCTTTCAAGTGCTTATCAGCATGTTAACCACAATTCGTTGGTCTTCAGCTGCTTTTTATCCTGAAACCTTCAGAAGCTCTGCCAAAATGGAATAACCACAACACCCCAACATAAAAAAGTTATCCTGCACAATTACTTCACCATTTGATTAAAACCAAAGGTCAAACAAGTACCTCACTCTTAGAAGAACACATTGTCCCCTAGAGGAAGCAACACACTAAGTACCTAGGTCTAGTAAGCATGAGCTCAGTGAAGTATGAGAAGTATGTCCTCCGGGACACAGAGCCAAGTGAGAGAAACGAGTTTGGGTGGGTTTAGAAAAGGAAGAGGGGGGGGCTGTTGTGGAGAGGGGATCCCAAACTGGTAAGGGAGGCCTTGACCCCTGGTGGGAGAGCCCCAGGCAGGTGGAGGCTCAAGGTGTGGTGCAGAACAGGCTAATATAGTGACCACTTCCTACAGACCCAGCCTCTTCCTTGGGTTCACCCTTGATGAGGCCTGGAGGAGGCTCTGATCCCACGTGTCACAACCCTGGAAACCTCCCTGCTGTCCCCCAGGTGGCTAGCTGCCTTTTCCCCTCTAAACCACCAGCCCCAGGGAGATGGCAGGAATGCCTCACCCCTACTTCCCCCCTCCACCCTCGCTCTCTCCCCTGTCCTCCCCCAGACAAGGCCAGCCTGCTGGACCCAAAATAGCAACAGCAAATAAAGAAATGTCTAGTTTGGGGCTCCTCTCCCTCTCTGCTGGTGCTCATTTTTTCCAACTTTGGTTTAAGTTAAGAAACACCAATGTTTTCTTGGTCTCTGCTTGCTGCCAACATTTTTGTAGAGCTTGCTCAGGAGCTACTGGCGGGGCTCATAAACTCAGTGGGGAAGACTTCGAGAAACAATTCTATATCTTTTTTTTTTTTTTTTTTTTGCTTAGAATCAGGGAAAATTTTCAGTTTGCATTTCCCTGTGGCTACATGGCTAAGAGGTCAGAAACTGGAGCTCATGCCATCCCAGCCAGTCCTCCAGGCATGCTTCTGCAGCCCCACCGTCACTCTCGCCAGACAGCCTTGCCTGGTCAGCCCCACTCCAGTGTGGCCACCCCTTGACTTCCATTCCTTTGTGCCCTACTAGGTGAGGAGCTGGCTTAGGAAGAGAGTCTCAGAAGTTAGGATATCACAGGGAACATGTCTCAGGTGGCACGAGAGCAGGAGGAAGGTGTGTGTATGCCTAACACACACACACACACACAATCCTCCTGGACAAAGTACCAATGACCCTGTGTGCACATATTTGCTCATTCAGGCCTTCAGCAGGTGTCCAGTCATGGTACATATGGAGAAATGGAGCTCCCCGAAAGGAAAAGGGATGAAGAGAGGAGAGAAATTAATACACATATCCATTGATCACCTAGTTCCAGCAAGACCTAGCTGTGTTACCTAATCAACCCTCAAAACCTCTGAAGTGAGCAGCGTCATCCTCAGTTTCACAGGAGAGAAGGTAGAAGGCAGAGAGGTTAGGCAACATGCCCAAGGCCACACAGAGCTCCAGCCAGCCCTGGCAACCTGTCTGCATCCCCTGTGTTGCTGAAGACTATCCTCTCTATCCACCACAGAAGGTGACAAGAGTGATCAGGCAACGTAGGAATGGATAAACCAACAGGAACTCAGAGGGCTCTACTCAGAGGGTTCAAGGCTAAGGTTAGTCAACAGGACTTCTCAGAAGAGATAAGGGAGGAGAGATGTGGGGAAGGGGTAAGACAAAAGGGAAGAGACTATGGGGGCTGGGCCAGGCCAGGGTGAGGGCTGGGCAGTTCAGCCTAACAAGGCCTTGTACACTACAGAGCTGTTTGGAGTGAACAGAAAGCAATAAGGAGCAGACTGGCTTCCCAGGGCCGTTCCTCCCGTGGCATAGACAGCCTCGGAGACGACACTTCAGAAAGGGACTCGGCTCGGCGCCTATAGCTCAACCGGCTAAGGCGCCAGCCACGTACACCTAAGGTGGCGGGTTCGAATCCCCAGCCTGGACCCGCCAAACAACAATGATGGCTGCAACCAAAAAATAGCCGGGCGTTGTGGCGGGCGCCTGTGGTCCCAGCTACTTGGGAGGCGGAGGCAAGAAACTCGCTTGAGCCCAGGAGTTGGAGGTTGCTGTGAGCTGTAATGCCACGGCACTCTACCCAGGGGGACAGCTTGAGGCTCTGTCTCAAAAAAAAAAAAAAAAGAAAGAAAGAAAGGGACTCTTTCCTTGGGCCTGAGTGGCCACTGTGCAGAGAGAAATTTCCTCATATTATGTTCTGATCACCAGGCCATAGTCCCCTGACCAAAGAGCTTTGGCTTTGTGTCCCCACATTAACCCAAAGAGGAAAACAAGTGGTCCCTCCCCAAGTACCTACTCACTTTCCTGTCACCTCACCCCCAAGGCTAGTCAATCTCTGGGAGAGGAGCCAAAGGGAGTAGGGATGTGTGCTGAAAGAAGAGAACAGGAAGGAGAGATAGGGCTGGGTGATGCTGGGGACAACATTACATGCCCCCAGCTCTCCAATGGGTCCAAGTCTTAGCACACCTGTCCCAAGTCCCAGGTACCAGGTGCCTTTCCAACAGGGAGAACCTGAACCCCAGGGTGGCTCCACCTGGCGTCTAGATCACTTGGGCCAGGTGTGAAAGACTGTTAGAGGCTGGGGGTGGGGGTGATGCCTCCCTACAAGGGACCTCTCTGGAAGGACAAGCACAGGCATCAGCCATCCCAGACAGCCTGGGACCACAGACTCATTGCCAGTGTTAACTTTCTAGACTAGGAGTATAGGGTCTGGGGACTTTGTGGGGGACAGAGGAAAAGGAAAATTGTTTTGCCTGAAGACCTCCTCCCCTTAAGTCAAGAACCAGAGAAGGAAACAGAAGAGGTGGGATAAAGGCTTTGTGCTTGGAAAATACAATCATGACTTGGGAAAAAGGAAGACTCACTTTCAGAAAGATTGTCTGTAGCTTCCCACAGTTCTTGCCACAGTAGTTGGCACCCCGCCGAGAGAAGAGGACTTCGTGGGCAGGCACCCGCTGGTATGCCACACGCTTGTCCCCTTGCAGCATCCAGATGATGATGTCTGGCAGGCTGTTCTGGGGCTGGAGAGAGGCTAATGGTCAGGGTGGGGACAGTGACACACCAGGCCCACACCCCACAGACACACTGTGAGCTGACCTCTGACTCAGAGGCCACAAAGGCCTCTCCTCCCTCTGCTTCCATCCCACACACTGCCCACCCATGGCCTTCCCCTGGACCTCCCAGGGCTGACTAGTTTCTGTCTTGAGTAGCCCTGAACCCCAGAGGACAGAGCATGAGGCTGCCCCCAGTTCACGGGAGAAGCCCACCAAAAATTACTGAGCTAAGTCCACATTTCAGGGAAGAGACACTCCTACCTGGAGCTTAGAGCTCACGTTACTCAGCATCTACTGAATGGATACTCCCAGCGAGCAAACACTGGAGGACTGACCAGGGGATAACATCACACTTAGGATACCACCCCCTTCCACAGCCCTGAGAGCAGCAGCAAATCCACAGATGGTACACCCCTTCCCAGAAGACGCTCAATCCTGCTTCCTTCAACAGCAGGGACCCTCAGAGCCTGGAGACATTGGGCACTGACAATAGCCACTAGCCCAGAACAAAACCCCTGAGCTACTCAAGGCCTCTATTAGTGACAACTGCTCCCAACTGCACCCTCTGGAGAGAGGTTGGGTAAAGGGCCATCTGCTTTCAAGAATGGTGAGCACAGTGTGTTCCATATGGGGCTGGGCCTTTACCCAGGGCCACTGCTGAGCTGACCTGCTGAGCTCTCAGGATGCAAGTCCCATGCACTGTTTCACTTAATCACTACAGCGAGCCCAGGGGCAGGCCTGGCATTCCCATGTGACAGGTGAGGAAGTTCAGGCTTAGAGAGTTAGGAGCCCACCCAGGTTCTCCTGACTCCACGTGTGTGTTCCTGACCACCATTCCAGGGATGCTCAAAGTAAGGTGCTGGAGCATCAGCAGCTCCTGGGAACTTGTTAGAAAAGCAAAGACTCAGACTCCACCGCAGACCTGGGGCGTCAGGAACTCTGAGGGAGGGCCCCATATTATTTTCACAAGCCCTCTAGGGTCTAAGGCACCCTAGAGTTTGAGACTATTCTCTTACTGTAATGCAGCCACTTGGCCTTAACCCCTCACAGCCACATCACCACTGAAGTTAAGAGGCCAGGGATTATTCTAAGCCAAGATTACAGAGGTATCCTGTGACTAGACTGAGGGGGTAGTTCACTGTCACTGTGAGGGGATGGTCCATGGCTGAGCGACACAGTGTCTTGCCAGGGAACCTCTAAGCCCCAAGCAGGGAAGCATCCAAGACCAACTCTGGGGACCCACATCACTTCCTGAGCAGCCTCCCCACTTCCCAGGGCCTCTCCCATTCATCAGCTTGTCCTCCAGAAGCCCCTCCCAGCCCTGTCCTTCTCACACCCCTGGGAAAGCCCTTCCTCACTAACTCCCCTCCTCCCTGGGGGTCCCACATGGCTGTGCTCAGAGTGGGCAGTAACTATGTTAGCCCACCACTTATAAGCAGAACTTTCTCCTCATTCTGGAGAGAGAGAGGCCATGGATTTCAAGGCCTGCTTGCTTGCTAGGGAACTGGGGAGGTGCATCAGGCCTGACAGACCTTGGTGGGAAGGACACACAGGTGAGGACAGAGTGCTCCTACAAACTGGAGCCAGTTCTCCCTGATTAGACACGGCAAAGCTCAGAGTTAGTGCAAATGCAGCTTCCTCAGGCCTGGGGGTTCAGAGGCACCCAGGAGAGCAGGAAACACAGAGAGGCAGGCACCCACGAGAAGCAGGTTAGAGGCCAAGCGCAGATAGGCACTAGTTGACAGAAAGAAGAAGCCAGGTGCCTGAAGGAGCAGGTCCTTGGGTTCTGGTTCCAGCTCTGTCTCTGACATAACTTTGGCAGGCAGAGAGAATTACTGAGCACCTACTATGTGCCCACGCTCTGTGCTGGGCCCCATAACTCTCATTATCATGTTGCATCCTCTCTCCTCTTTCTGTGAATCAAAACATTGAGGCTCAGAGAAGTTAAGTCACCTGCCAAGGTCACCCAGCAATGGAGCCAGGATTGGATCACAGACAGTCCAGACAGTCCCCCTATTCCTCCCAGTTCTGCTGTTCCAGGCAGCAAGAGGGCAGAAGAAAGGCACCTTGCAGGATTAATTACCTCCTCTGCCAGGGAATGAAGACGCAGGAGCCAGTCTTCAGCCTGCTCCAAGGCAGCAGGAAATTCACTGTGGCCAAGCTTCAAGGCCAGAGCAGCCTCAGTGATTTGGCTCAGGTGACGGGTGCGCAGTCGGTACAAGTACTGGTCCAGATGGGTGGCAGAGGGTATCTCATAGACATTACCCAGAGGCTGGCTGTGAAGGACAGACAGAATGTACCTGATGACCAAGAACTCCTCCAGGCCCAGGCACACACGCACACACAAGTACACACTCACATGCACGGGCCCTCAAAACAGGTCCCACATCCTCAGCCTGTCTTTCTCATGCCTTCACCAGGCTGATCCGCATTCAGTCCTCTCACCTCCTCCAGGAAGCCTTCCCTAACCATCAACCTGCATGTCTCCTGCTCTGAAGCCACCCAGCCCTTTATTCTAGGATAAGTTTGGAACTTATCCTCAACCTCCACTCTGCTGAGTTCTTTTGTACATGTCCCCATCTCCCTAACTGACTGCAAGCTCTCAGAGGGCCCAGAGGATCCTGCGGATCCTCCTAAAGCAGAGGCAGGAGCCCTAAGTTGCCCTCTGCTGAAACAAATCCATTCTGTGTTGCATGCACACATTCTTCAAGAAGGAAATTTATGGACCCCTGACGAGCCACTGCAGACGCTGTGGGGAGGCCAGCAGCCAGTAATACAGATGTGTCCACCCAGGGCGGCCCCTCAACACCCTTCCCAGAACCCTCTGCTTTGGAAAGCCTTTGGAGAAGAGGTGGGAGTGTGCATGCAGTCCCAGAAACACAACCCAGAGCCCTCAGTGAGAGGTAAGCTTTAAACTAGTCCTGCTTGGAGGCTGAGAACTCTGAGCCCCCATCCTATGGAGGCTCCCTAAAAGTCCTTCATCAAGCTCCTCACCATTCCAAGCCTCCTGGTTCAGTACCTACGCAAGAGTCACGTAGGACAGGACAGGGGCGTCTGTGCTCTTCCTCATCAAGCAGGACCCCTTCGACTGTCCCCCGATTGACGGTATGGGGGCTGCCCTGCCCCCACCCCTTCCTGATTCCCAAACAGGACATCAGTCAAACCCGCTCCGCCAGGTCTGCTCCCACCCTCACACCCCTTCCCCCTCCCCTCCAGGCAGCGTCTGACTCCGGCTCCCGGCTGATTTATTTTTCTGCCAATTTCCCCGAGCTATGCAGAACCAATTACCGCCAGAGCGCAGCGGCACCGCCGCCGCCAGATACACCGCTCTGGCAGGCCCTCGGCGCACTACATTTTTCCTGTTATTTTTTTTAATTGAATTTTTAGGGTGGGGGGAGCAATACGCAAGCTCCATCTCGGGAAACTTAAGCCCCGGGGCCTGTCTCAGGTCACGTACTGCACACCCTGTAGTAATATAATATTTACTGCCCCGAGGGTGCCGCGGATGGGGCGGCCCCAGGCCGGGAGCAGCCTTACCCGGCCACAAGACTGCGGTGGAGGGGCACGCTGCAGGATCGTGGGTTGGGGGGGCCTGGGCCGGAGCCCTGGGCCGGGGCCTGCCTGGGAACTAGGCCTGAGTGGGCCGGAGGGCGGGGGCAGGCGGGTCTGGTGGGGGATAGTGAGAATCGCGGCCAAGCAGGGTGATTTATGCGCCCAGCCTGGGTCGGGAGCCGGGAGGGGCTACAGTGCAGACCACCAAAGGGAGAACTTCATGGAGGCCACAGCCCAGCCAAGACTCCCCAAGAAACGGTTAGGACCTTGAGTGCCATTAACAAGATGTCTGGGAGCTGTCTCTGCCCTCTCAGCCCCAGGAAAGGAGAGCCCAAGGTAGGGGGACAGAGAGAAGGGGACTGGGGAAGAGAAGGCTGGAAGGAGCTGCACCATAGCCCTACATAGGGGCGGAGACCCTGCCAACTGGCTAACTGGACATGACAGGTAGACCCAGGGCAGGGCTCCACTCAGGCTGAGAGCAGAGTAGGGTGCTCACTGTGGGACCAAGTGTGTGTCTCTATCAGGGACGGCCACCAAGAAGGGACAGTGTCCAGGCAGAAAGATGAACTGGCCTCAGGTCATTCATTTCACTTCTCATGAGCAACAGCTCCTCTGGGCCTGAGCTGAGGGCTGGGCCAGAGACAAGACCTGGCCCTGCTCTTGGGAAATCCCCACAGCAGAGAGGCAAACAGATCCCCAGAGCGCAGCCTCGGAGTCAAGAGTCCCTCCTGGGAGAAGTGTCCCCGAACTGCACCTGGCAGGACCAGCAGGAACTAGTAGGGCCAAAAAGAAGGGGCAGGGTGTTGTGGCTGACAAGGCAGCATGTGCACAAGAGGCCCAGAGGCAAGGGAGAGCCTGGGAGGGGGCAGAGGGCCAGGCAAGCAGGTGCAGAGGTTCGGAAGGGCTGGAGCTCCATGAGGCCAGTGGTGGGGACAGAGAGGCCTATCCACCAGGATGAGAGCTGGGACTTTCTCTGAATGCAGTGGGAGCCACAGCAGGGCTGACGTGGAGGCAGCCATGGCACAGTTTTAAGCAGACCATGAGATGCTAAGAGAGAGGCTGGAGAGGAAGAAAGGAAGGAAGAAGAACAAGGAGGAGGCAGACCCCCCTGCTGCTGGGAGTGGGAACGAGAGGGAGGGCAGTGAGAGTTGGCTCAGGTTTCCAGTGTGGGCTCTGGGGGTGGTGGATCCCAGAGAAGACACAATGGTAAAAGGTGATGAAACCTGTCTGTGGCACGTGTAGCCTCAGCCACAGCACAGATGTGTTGGCAGGACATCCACACAGAGATGTCCACCAGGGGTTGGGTCCATGGTCTAGAGATCAGAGGAGAGGGCCGGGCTGGAAGAACAGAGTGGACATCATTGGCCAGGGAGTCTGAGGGAGGCTCCCAGGGAGATGAGTCAGAGAAAGGGCCTGAGATGGAATGAGAAGCGCTGATGATGGGGGTGTGGGCGGGGCTGGCTGCAGGAACGGTGAGCAGCTGTGGTCAGCATGGCAAGCTAGCTCAGGGACCCTGTGCCTGGCTGCTCTACATGGCAGGGCTCTGCATCAGAACAGGGTACAGAAGAAGCCCTCTTGCTGAGACACCAAGGCTGCTTAGTGTCCTCAGGTGGTGGCTGAAGGAATTGGTCCTGCTGCTTGAAATTCCTACTCTGGAGAGCTATCTGTGCTTTCCCAAGAGAATGTAACCTTGCTCCCCTCACAAGCTCCTGACCTGGAACCAGTTCCCTTCAACCTGGAAGGAAACCCAGTTCACCCTTTCACCCCCAATAGAGTGACTCAAGGCGTCAGGCTTTGAAGAAGTATTTTGCAGCAAAGAACAGAGCTTTGAGCAGGGAGGGCACCAAGAGGAGCCCAGGTCTTGGATGTTCCAGGCACCTCAGACCTGCTGTGACAGCCATAAAAGTCATAGCAGAAAAGCCTGGCCTGCCCACCACACCCAAGGCTGTGCTAAGGGGCACATGAGCCACCCTACAGGCATGGCTTGGGGGTGTAGGGATGCCCTGGTGAGGTCACCCCATGGCAGCAGCCCTCCACTCTGACTGTAGCCTGAGTGCCCCTTCAACCACACTCTGTCTCTCCCACCTCCAGCCCACAGGCCAGCTTCCTCACAGGTGCCCTCCCACTCAGCATGGCCATCCTCCTGCTGATATCCTCAGAAGCCCAGCCAGATGCCTGCCTAGCTGCCCAGCCAGAACCAGGGGATCATTCTGAACCTTCGTTTAGCCCCTGCATTCAACCCATCATCAAGTAATATCCACTATAGAGCAGAAGAGCAAGGGGGCTCTGCCACTACTAGGTATGCAAACCTGGGCAAGTTAGTCAACTCTGTTTCTCAGTTTCCTCATCTGTAAAATGGGATTCTACTTCTTCCTGAGTAAGACTTTATGGTTAGTTAATACATGTAAAAATTTAAAACAGAGCCTGGCACAAAAGATTGTTCTCATCATAATGCCTCCTGAACAATCTGTCAGATGGGAATGCTACTTCCCTTCATTCCCACCCCTCCCAGGGTCTAGTTATACCTTTGTTGTAACCCTCCCCAGTGGCCAGATATCCAGTCTCCCCTCGCCTAGGCCCAGCACCGGCCCCTCACCAGCACCAGTCTGTCCCTCACATTGCAGCCAAGAGAACTTCCCAACCTCAAGGGCCACCATGTCCCACAGCCTTGCCCCAGGTCTGAGATCCCCTCAGCAAAGCCCAGGCCTGCCTTAATTAGGCACCAGGGCCACAAGCATTTCAGGCTTCTATGCCTTTGCCTGGGCAGTCCCCTCTCCAAAGGCTAACTCTTACTTCTCCCTCAAAGCTCTCCTCAGGTGTCCCCTCTTCCAGGAAGCTTCCCTGAGTTAGGTTTGCCTGTTCTGAGCTCAGACAGCCCATGCCTCTAACTCCTCAGTGCACTTTACTTCATTTGTTCATTTTCGCCTCTGCCATGCTTTAGAGGGCTGAAGTTGTCCCCCTTATCAGTATGCTCTGGTGGCCAGGCTTCAGAAAGGATTGTGGGATGGGCAGGGGAACATTTCTTTGTGTGGGGTAACATTTTGATAAAGATGCACTTTGTAACTGGACTGCAAAGGACTGGAAAGGTGACCAATTTCCCAGCATGAAGGCATTTCCCAGGTGTGTTCAACAGGTCTCCACAGCTAGGCTAAGGGTGGGGGCAGAATATGTAGAGGGAGCACAGAACACATTTACATATATTTACACATTCGCACGTATTAGCCCCATAAAGAGTAGAAGGACAGCCATTGTTATTAAGTCCATTTAACAGCTGAGAAGACTGAGGTCCAAGAAAGTCAAGTTCCTCAAAGCAAACCAGTTAAAAGGACAAGTACCAAAGTCCCGACCAATTTTTCTTCTTAACAATAATTATAGCTACTATTTACTTCCTTTCCAAGGGCCAGGCAGGCACTTTGTTTATGAGATATTGTAGTTATGCTTAATGCCAAGTTGAAGTTGAGGAGACCAAGAGTCCAAGACTCCTCAGAACCCCACCTCCCCCTGTAGTGGAGGAGATGATAAGACCCACCCTCTGCGGCCTCAACCCCATCCTCCATCACCCCCTTTTCCTTAAGTTGATTGTCAATGTGTCAATAGCAGGCTAAAAAGAAACCCTGGTCCCTGACATGGGCTTGGGAGAAGGAGAGGCACCAGGACCGCACCCCCCTCCCAGCTTCTCCTGGAGATTCCATCTGGGAAATAAGAGGGCGGGGATCGGAGACACAATGCTCCCCATTCAGGTGAGCCAACTCGGCCCACAGCTGCCGCTGCAGCAGGGAGATTTATGACCTGCTCTCAATGTCACCTTTTCAACTCCCGCGCTGGCTCCACCACCTTTGGACTCAGCACGGGCTGGACTGCTGGCCAAGCGTGGCTGGGGAGACGTGCCGTCGCTCACCGCCACACACGAACACTCCCAGGGAAACAGCCTTGTTGAGCCAGGAGAGGAGGGCACCAGGGCGCCAGGCCCCCTACCTGCAGTCTGCAATGAGCTCATCCATCAGCTGAGCCACCAAGGAGTCCATGTCCTCCGTGGAGCACTGTGCCTTCAGGGCCAGGTGGACCTGCTCCAGGCCAGCTTCCTGCAGAACAGGCAAGCAAGGGTCAGGGTGTCACCCTGGGGTCAAGGTACACGTGGGCTCACACCCCACCACTACAGCACAGTCCCTGACCAGTAAGGAAAGAGCAAAGAAGGCAGGCCAGCCAGGGTCTGTCCTGGCTCAAGAACCTTCCAAACACAGCACAGTTCCCATGCCCGTAACTCCATGAGGAGCTCAGGCCCTATCTAAGGACTGCAGCAGACCTTGACTGCTTCCTACCCCTGTCCTGCCACCTTCAAGCTGGGTCTGGCTTCCCACTGTAAGTGGTCTTCTCTGAGCCTACTCTGGTTTCCCACCTGGAACCCTCGCTCCTTTCTAGATCTCACTGCACAACCAGGCTCAGATCAAATCTTCCCCACTCCAGGAGCAGGCCAGCTACCCCTACTCACAGGGAGCTCCTTCTGCAAGCTTCCATAGCCTGGTCACCCCCTGGGTTGCATCTTGGCTCCATAACGAGTTCTTTTCCAGCCTTTAACTGGGAGGCCATGGACTGTCGCTGTCTCCAATGCACCTCTCCCCATCCATCAGCCCTCAGCCTTCCTGAGCATGTGACATGTGCTCTGCACTTAGACTACCAAAATAGGGACAGAACCAAGAAAGAAAACAGACTCCCTGATCTTCTAGAGTCTGGAGTTTTCTTGTGAGACAGTGACTGATCCAGAGGACAGACTCTGTACCCACATTCTGCCCATCTTGGTGCTTGGTGGTGTCTTCTCTTCCCTAGAGCTGCCAGTCTCTGAGAATGCATAGGCCACCATAGCCCCCTACTGGGCCTAGACACTAGCCTCCCCCTCTGCATCTATCATTCCTTCTACCTGTGCTCATCTCTCATAGACATGTCCAGGTCTCTCCATCCTCCTCCCCTTGACCCGCTGCTACCCCTGGTATGGTCCGCACCTGCCTCCTCCGCTCTCCTCATGGGCAGGTAAGACTCCCCCCACCAATCCACATAGCAGAAATGCCTATAAGCCTGCTAGGACCATCAGCTTCCCAGCTGGCCATCTCACCTCCCTTAGCCTCCACAACTCAGCCCACTTAGGATTCTCCTCTACTCCTCCACTCCTGCTGGACCAGGCCAGCAGCTCCCAACACAAGCAGGGAACTCTTAGGAAAGCCTCTCCTCACCTCTGACAGAACACACCACCTGATTCCATATATTCTGCTCTTCTCCCCAACTTCTCAGTTCTACTCTCCTCCCCAAATCCAATGGGCCACCAAGGCCTTGTAGCTCAAGTCCTGCAATTTTTCTCCTCAAAGTCATCTCTTTCCCAGGGCCTTGTCTCCCTCCCCTAGGTCCCTGCAATGGCAGTCTGGTTAGGCTCCCACATCCATCTCCCCACAGGAGACACAGCTCCCTTGCTGCCCCATGACACCCTCCTAATGCTCCATGGCTGCCTTCTCTCCTCTGAGCCCACTTCTCCCTGAACCTTGGACTGTCACCTGCATCGAGGTTTGGAAAGCCATGTATGAGAGGCTGAGCCTGTGTTCTCCTGTACTAAACTGACTCCCTGGGGGCAGGTCAGCTCCACCTTCACTTCTAGCTTCTAGCTGGAAGTTTCTAACACAAGTCCTTGATATAGTAAGAGTCAAAATGCATCTGATGAATGAATGAGTGAGTAAGCCAGAGCAAGGCTGTGTCCTGCTGCTCCCAGCCAGGTTTCTCTCTGCTCCCTCTGTGTGGCCTCCTGCAGCAGACAAGGGCTTGCAGGGACTGCGCTCATCCCCTCTTCTCTGTTCAGTATGCAGGACAGGACTACAAGCCTGGTATCATCAGGACACAAAGGACCCTGGCAAACCTAGGAAGTGGGGTGGGGGGAGGGGACAGGGGAGGCAGTCTGAAGACACACCCACATGGCAGGTAGGGGGTGCATGCACAAGGCACCTGCAGGTGTGGGGCAGGTTTTTACTCACCAGCCGGTCAGCAATTCTCAGCAAATGGTTCTGAGTCTCAATTCTATGGCTGATGTCCTCCCAATAGGATGACAGCACCACCACAGGCTTCACATTACCCCAGGGCAGGTAGTAATAGTGACACCCTGGAAGGGAGAAGAGGTCTTAAGCACTGTGCCAAGAGTGGGGGGCTGTGTGGGGCAGGCACTGCAGAGCTTGGGCACCTGGGCCCACCAGGGCTAGGACGGGCATAGCTAGGAAGGAACATGGGAGGGACGGAGACAGGAACCTACTCACCCTTCCATCTAAGAACTCCCTAGGACATAAGCAGTATGACCCCCATTCCCCAGATACGACCCTTATTTCCCCCAAAAACATGCCTGAGCTCACTCTGTGTGTTGATCAGACAGCCACTGCTCTCATTAGGGCCCCTTAGTACATGAGAACAACTCTGGAAAATCCGAGTCCACACTTCCAAAATCTCTAAGCCAAGCTCCACAGACTTCACATACTGATGGAGATGGATCAAGCCAATGCTGACTACCACCTGTTTTAGGTGCACAATCTGTGGGTTCAGATCTTATGTGGGGGACAGCAAGGGCACCCCAAGTAGGTGTGCCAGGGCCGAGTCCCTTGAGCTAGCCTCCAACAGCCTTCCACGGGAGGCAGGCTTTGGGGTTAGGCCTCTGCCCTCACCGTCAAAGACTGCCCGGCTGTACTGAGTGGTAGAGGCCAGCGGCAGGCAGGTCGTGTCAAACTTGTTCCCGTAGTTCCCAATGCTGACCTCAAACTGGATGGCATCATCCACATCTTGCAGCATGGAGGCTGAGTAGAATGCAGCAAAAAGGGAGTATTTGCGCCTCCGAAGGAACTTCTAGAGCAGAGAGGAGCCAAGAAAGACAGTAGGGTGGAGTGGTGGCACATTCTGGGAGATTCTGGCTATAACTGACACCCAAGAACTCAAGCTAGATTGATGGATAGAAAATAGTCCAAGAGGCTCGGCGCCTATAGCTCAACCGGCTAAGGCGCCAGCCACGTACACCTAAGGTGGCGGGTTCG